ATAGCGAATATCGCTATAATAAAGCAAAAATGCCGTTTGTGTGAACAAATCTTAATTTGGCTAACAGTTTTTAATGCAAATAATTTTTACTGTCAAATTTGAATAGCCCCGCGCTTTTTTTCTCTTCTTCTTTTTATTATTTTCTCTTCTTTCATATGGCCTCTTACCAGACAAGAACTTAATTGAAAAAAATCAACCACGTCCGCCAGATGCCGCTGAAAATTCTATCATCCTTTTTTATCATGGGAGATACCGTTCTAAGAGTAAGTGTTCTGTGGTATTCAACCTCGGCTCTATCAAGGCACCTACTTTTTTAGATTTAATACTCATATTTAAATTGATTTTAGATAGTTTTATTAAAATTTACGAAATATTTGTAAATATAGACGAATATCTTGTGGAATACCATTATTTATCGATTCTTCATAAGAATCACTCTTTTTTAATTATATTTAATGTCAATAACTAAAAAATATACTGATAATTTAAAAAAATAATAGTAGCTTGCTAACCAAATATGAACTGTGATTGGTAGATTTTATATCCCTACAGTGTTCTTACTAAACTGAATATGAAATATATTCATCCAGTTGAACGCAATGGCCAACTTTTTCGTAGTCTGTGCGTAGAATAACTAATATCCATGTGGGTGCATAAAAAATATTTTGGCCATTGACCCTTTTAGAACCGAGCCTCTGTATTAATTTAACGATCAAAGAGGGATCTGGAGCATATCCAACAGGGATCAAGGCTAGTTTTTGCGATAAATTTGAAAATGCAACCGTAAGCTAAAATTTTAAGGGAAATTATGTTAATAACCGATCTTACATGCAAAAAACTAAGAGTACATGGATAATTTATCATTGTCGCGGACGAAAATGAAGAACCCACTCGAAAACAGAAAAAACGGTTTCGCGATCGATAGCGACAAACGACGAACGACAAACCAAATATGACAAGGCACTCTCGATAAACGAATGTTTATTAATTAAGCGCTGCTTTTGACGTTAATTAAATAGCTCTAACGCTAAAAGCTAAAATCAAACTATAGCGTAGACCGAGTTGAAAGTTGGACTGATCGAATTGCTGGAAATTTAATTTCTGAACAATCGCTAAAGGAAACATATTTTATTTGTATTATTTGCGAATGAATTAGCAATAATTTTTATTTAAATAAAGCATGTCAGTGGTGAGTTTTACTATACAGGGTGTTACTATATTCGATCAACAACGCTCGTTGATTGATGCACTTTGATATATGAACCCTTAAGGGCCTTAGTTACCCAAAATTCAAAATTTACAATAAATCAAAAACTCCTTTAAATATGTATTTCTAAATTTTTGATATGTTGTAGTTGTCGACTTGCTGAACAATAGTGTCCAGGGGCACAACTCAATCCTATGACTAGTTTTTGATATACAGGGAGTTGAACTTACAAATTGACGATTTTTAAAAAGGACGTGCCTCTTAAGATACTACTATCATTACAGATATGTTACGAGAAAAAAGCTTTACTGAAATCAAACAATATTTCCAGCATACCAAATGACGTAAATTATTATTAGTTACAGGGTGAGTCATAAATTACTCAAATCGAATTTTAATTTTTACTTTAGCATGGAAATATTCTTCAAATAAATATCACGCTGTAATAGCCTTCGCTTAAATAATCAAAATTACATTCTATACAGGGTGAGTCAAAAAGTTGGTAGACCCTGTATGCTGTTTTTAATAAAATTTTACATATTTAATATCGTGTTTTAATAATAAACATCAAACCATTTTAATATATGTATAATTTATAAACCATACACAGTATGATTCAAAAGATATTTAAAGAGAAAAATAAAAAATGTGTTTTTTTCATGTCTCACCCTATATGTAAAAAATTCGACTGTTAAATTGCTTATTTTTCGCACTTACTTTATTTTGAGTATGCCAAATAAAGTGTAAAAATTTTATGAATTTACTGTTATCAGTTTTTGAGATATGAGTTATAAAACCAGGTAATGAAAGATATGAAAAGTTAAATTCATTTCCTCGTCACAGTCATCACTAACTCTCATTCTCATTCTTCATCCTTTGACCTACTAGATATTCACCTTTGTTTGACTGATGACGTACCTACCTTCCATTATTTTTTTAAAAGAAACATTACTCATGAGCTCACTTAATTAAGATATAATTTTATGGAAAATTCAGCAGCATAAAAATGAATAAACCAAAACATCGATCCTAACCGTTCTTGTGGAAACAAAAAATTTAAATAATTTAAAGTATGTTATAACGCAAACTCTCTAAAATATTTTTAATGAAGTTCATTTTTTTTTAATTATATGTTATGTAATGCATTGAATTACTTATAAAATTAGATTTTATATGAGGAGATACACTTCATATTATTTAATAATTCTTGTACCCGCAAAAGGACGTAAATATAGATATCTATGTTATTCATTTTCATACTGTTAAAATTATCATAAAATTGCCTTTCAAATGAGAGAGCGCATGACTTAATATATCAATTTTAAATAAATCAACGATTACGTCATCAGTCAAATAATGGTGAAGTAATTTCTTTCGTAAATACGTCAAAGAATGGGCTTTTGAAATTAAATACGACGTGTTTTAGGGTTTTTCCTAAAAGTCGATTATTTCCCAAATAATCAATTTATTCCATACTTTTGTATCATACTGTATAATTAAAGTATTGTAGATATATACAGAATATTTTTTTATGTCTAGCATATAAAGAAGCCCCATAATACTTCTTGTAATTTGAGTGTTAGAGTTTAAAAATAATTGTTCATGTCATTACCAAGTTTCATACATCATATCTCAAAAACTGATCATAGTAAGTTCATATAACTTTAACACTTTAATGGCATACTCAAAATAAAATCATTTTTTAAATATAGGGTGAAACATGAAAAAACTACTTTTTCTTAATTTTTCTCTTTAAATATCTTTTGAATTATACTGTATATGGTTTATAAATTATACATATTTTAAAATGTCTTTTATTAAAACACGATAATAAAAATGTAAAACTTTATTAAAAACAGCATACAGGGTCTACCAACTTTTTAACTCACCCTGTATAGAATGTAATAGTTCCTAATTTTGATTATTTAAGCGAAGGCTATCACAGCGTGATATTCATTTGGAAAATATTCCAAGCTAAAGTAAAAATTAAAATTCGATTTTCAGTAATTTATGACTTACCCTATAACTATTAATAGTTTGCGTCATTTGTTATGCTGGAATTATTGTTTGATATCAGTAAAGCATTATTCTCGAAAAATATCTGTAATCATAGTAGTATCTATTTTAAAAAATTGCCAATTTGAAAGTCCAACGCTCGGTATATCAAAAACTAGTCATAGGATTGAGTTGTGCCCATGGACACTATTGTTCAGCAAGTCGACAACTGCAACATATCAAAAATTGAAGAAATTCAACAGAAGCCCATTTGTCCTGGTCCTTTGGCTCAAAATTTTTTGTTAGAATCCAACAGCAGATTTCTGAGTAGTGGTGGTGGTTGTGATTTTTGTTATTTGCTGATAAATGATGATTTTTTCAAGTAACATTTTTCTCTGCATTTAAAAATAAGGGTTCTTTACTCTTAAGCTAAATTCATATTTTTGTTTTTTATTTTTTATTTTTTTTTATTTTTTTTTTGTTTTTTAGAAAATATGAAAATTGGAAAAACACGACTATTGTTGTTTATTTATTTAAATACATGTTATTTATTATAGTATAGCCCCTACAATATTCTTTTCGCTATTTGTACTATTTTAATTACTGTTCAAACAAAAAATGTGAAGAGGAAGTGGATAATCATTATTAATAAAAAAGTTTTTGTTAATGTATTCTAATATTTTTTTTATACCTAATGTTATTTTATCTTTATCATCCTAAGAAATTGTTTTTAAATATTTTTAATTTTGACAAACACTATCTGTAAAACGCTTTATATATTATTCAACAAGGCATATAAAAAACAAATCTAAAACCAGCCACATCTTGATGGGATCTTTATAGCCAGATTTCTTAGATTTACATTTTTTTGATAAAATTATTTTGTGGTCGTAGGAAAAATATAATACATCACTTGTGTAAAAGTGATTTTCACACTCGCGTAATTGTCATACTCGGCTTTTGCCTCGTGTGAAAAATGTCACTTTCCACACTCGTAATGTAATGTACTATTTCATTAACAACAGAAAAATCCACTAGGCATATTTCGGTTTAATACACGTAGAAACGTATACAATGTAGAATTCCCTAATAAAACAAACAAAAATAATGTATAATAAATTCTTAGGCATTCTGAAATACTAGAAATAGCCATCCTGATAATGGCTGTGGCCATAGAAACATATTATTTAAAATTTTATCGTTGTCAGTTTACCCAGTTTAGTGTCATTTTCAAATAAATATGGTAATTTGGAAAAACTAAATGTCTTGTACCTAGGCATAAATAAATACAAATAAACATTTAACTTTTTGGGGTCGACTGTATCAATAAAAACAGAAATTACATTGATATAATTACAACTTAGAAAATATACCTCGTTGCCACTTTTATTAAATTAGTGCATTTTCCAGAATAATATCAAAATACTACTAATTTTTTTTTTTTTGAATCGACAACTAACGACATTTTTTATAAAATAAAAAATACTACCACTCACCTATTTCATTATAAACACCCACTATAGTTATTTTTTATTTTATTTATCCATTATCAAATTTTGATTAAACATTTAATATTTTTTGGGGCTGACTGTATCCACCAAAACTGAAATTAAATCAATATAATTATGACTTAGAAAATTCGATACCTCGTCGCCACTTTTTACAATTAGTGCATTTTCCAAAAAAAAAATCTAAATTCTAGTCTTTTCTCTCGTTTTTTTTTGTTTCTTCATTTTAAAATTCAACAACGACAACAAACATCATTGTTTTTAATAAATTAAAAAATACTACCACTCACCTGCTATTTTATTTGAAAAATGCACCCACTACAGTTGTTATTTCTTCGCTATTTTTATTTCATTTGTCTAGTATCAAATTTTGATTGAACGTAAATGCGCGAAGTTTCCTCCGGGACAACGTGGTTGATGGTTGAATACGCGGGACACCCACCACTCACAGCACCACGGAAAATAACTTCGAATCGAAATGCTGCGCGCCGTCGATCAAGTTCACATTGTGAAGAGCTTTTCGCATGTTGTCAGATCTACGAAAGCTTTACGAAAAGCTCCGAAATTACAACACAATACAATTTTTTTAAATGGAATTCTCTAAATCTTTATATATTACTGTCTTACGATGACATGAAAACCTTAACTATTAGTACAATATTTAACTAGTGACACTGGCAGTTCTGAATAATGAACATGTTTTTTTTGTCCTGGGACCCGTCAGAACATTTTTTTAATAAATGAAAAATCAATTAAGTCTGCATTGAAGTTCTTCAATGGCCCGCGCTGAGACCACCACAGGTGAATCATCGGCAAACATTAAAACTGATCGGCCATCTAAATACTGAGGTAAGTCATTTTCAAAAATAATAAATATTAGTGGTCCCAGAACCGATCGTTGAGGAACCCCTAGATATAAGTGTCATATATTTCAGATTCTAACCGGTGCAATGTGTTACTTCTAATACCATAAGAGTATAACTTATCTAAGATTAATTATTGAATTTGAAGGCTATCCAAAGCCCGATCCAGACAACACACCAAATCCCAGAGATATCCACAGAATATCTTTTGTGGATATCCAATATATCCACAGGATATCATAAATATTCCGTGGATCTAATATGGATATCCAAATGTCCGTCTATATCCCAGGATATAGAAGATATTCGGTTATTCAGCAAAATATTTAATGGGTATCTTTAGTAGAGGTTCATAAGTAACCAATGATTTTATTGAATAACGTCGAAAAAAAATAACAGAAATAAAAAAAATATTTTCAACACTCTGCCGTTGATTTTGCCCACTAAGAGAGAAAGTCATCCTTATTAGGACTCTTCAGCAATAAATGGAAATTCTTGACTCCAATCTCTAATGGAGTCTGATTGATATAACAATTTCGATCGAACCCAATTACGGCGGGTTAAGCATGAGCACGAGCGAAAGTGGTATCGCCATCTATACTTAGTAAGCAAAATTAAAAATTACATCTAGTTGATATCCACCATGGTTTGCGTTCGCGTCTAGACTTTGATATATTTAGTGGATGTCCATGGGATATTGAATACACCTTAAAAAAATTAATTTTAAATATCTGAACACTATTAGCCACAATGGCGAACACAATGGCGTAATTTTTTAATAATTTGCTATATAATTACTATTATTTATGGACATTTGTATGTCTATAAATTACATCTTATGGATATAAAATAGATATCCACCATGGACTGGACATTTAGTGGATATTGAGATGTCCAGTAGATATCCAAAGGATTTGGTGTGCTGTCTGGGGAGAGAGATCAAAGAAGAGGCCGGCAACATATATCGTACACTTCAATAAAAAATTCAAATATACTGCCATCCTAAGAATAAACGCGGTATGTTAATGAGGAGGCAACTGACATATTAATGTTTAAAGTTTTTGGATTGGCTCTTACGCATTTATTACATTTAAATAATTTAATATCAAGAGGAGTGAGACTAAGAATTACTGCCATGCCTCTGGTCGGTGTGGTTTTCATAGCTTCTGTTATGTTGAGACAGGCTGTTATTCGAATTTGTTTTAGTTTGAGGATAGCTGTCAATTTTTGGGTTTTCATTACCCAGACAACTGCACCGTATGTTAGCATAATATGTCTTATGTTGGCCTGGTAAGTCCATGCGACGATTCTAAGGGAGAGATTTCAGGTGCGCCTCACGGTTCGACAGCATTGTTCATAAGCAATGTATGTATTTTCTACTCTGTTTTCTTAAGAAGCTTCACTCTGTTAGGTATTCAGCTTTGCTAAGGGTTACCAGACGTCAGGACATGTCCAGAATTTTGCCACTTTGTCTGGAATGTGGCGGAAATTATAAATTGTCCGGAATTTTCAGGAAAATCATCAAACGTATTAAGGTATACTTAAAATCCCGTTAATATTAACTTTTATTTTATTTTTCATAATTTAATTTGTATGTAAATATTTAATAGACGGTTGTTGTCTTGTATAGTTTTGTTTGTGTATGCCTTTTGTATTTTCTTAAATAAAACGTTTAGTAATTATTTCATGAGTTGGACTTATTATTTTGTCCGAATTTTTAAAGAAATGTCCGGACTTTTTGTTAGGAATGTCAGGAATTTGTATTTTCGAATATAGTAACACTAGCATTGCTACATTCTAACAATACTACCACAAAATATTTGATGCATTTAAAAACGAGTCATGGATATTTTATTATTTGTAGCAAAAGTTGGAGAATCAATTTTGATCTGGCAACGTAGCCTTCCACCCCCTCTTCATTGGCAAATAAGGTCTTTTGATACAATAATCCACCCTTGCAAGGGGCGCTTTTAGGTACATTTCACCAATTTTCCGCTTCCCACTGCCCTATTGTGCTACATACGTAAATCGCGGATCCTACGAATTCGTATATTGATGGTATACATGCAAAATTTTATACGGGGGGTCATTCGATTCATCTTCTTACCATTTGTAATGGTTGTTAAAAAATTATAGCATTTGAGTTTTATATTGTAGCATTACTTAATGATTTTTGCCGATAACTGGAATGAACTATTTAACCAGGATATTACTAATTTTTTTCCAGTCATTCCTAAATTAAAATAATAGTAGATTGTGCAACAAGAGTGGATATGATAGCCATATCGCACGAAGACGAAATTTGACCACGACGCCGTAGGCGGAGTGCTCAATCGTTTGAGTGCGATGTGGACAATCCACTCGAGTTGTATAATATATGTTTTCTACGGCCCACTAACGAAAATTTACAAATAAAAAACATTTTAGATCATTGACAAAATAACTAATTTTAAAACAATTTGACTTTTAATAATTTTTTAAATAAAATAGAAAAAAGTTAGTTTCATTTTTCCCCATCCGAGAATCGAACTCCAATCCTCTGCGTGGAAGGCAAGAACTCTAACCACAAGACCACCTACTCTTTTATTTTTGTTGCTTTAATACTCGTAATTAAATTGACTTCATATAGTTTTATTTAAATTAACAAATTATTTATAATTATAGACGAAATAAAAAAAGAAATGCTATTATTTATTGATTCTACACAAGAATAATCCATTTTAATGTATGTCTAAGCTCAATAACTAAAAAATATACTGACATTTAGTTTGACAGAATTGTCACTTAATTAAAATTTTTAAAATAATAGCTGTCAAAATATGAACGGTGATTGGGCGGATTTCATTTTTTTGCAGTGTTCTCAGAACCTAGAATGGATATGAAATATATTCGTTCAGTTGAAGGCAATAGTATACTTTTTCGTTTTGTAATCTGTGCGTAGATAAGGTAATCAATATCCATGTGGGTGTAGAAAAAATATTTTTAAGTTGGTCTAACTTTTTTTCCTATATAGCAAGTCATGTATATAAAACAGATAACGTGAGTTATAAAACTAGATTTAGAACTTAAAATATAGACTAGACCATGTTCATAATAATTATAAAAAAGCAGGTTTTTCCAACTTACACAATGCACTACTCAATATTATTTGGACTTTTGTTCATTCTGCAAGCAATGTTGATAAAAGTGTTCAACTCTATATTATTTATTACTTTTAACCCAATCTTACGACCTATTCTCGTTGGTTTAATGGTCATATAATAAGCATGATTCGTCAAAAAGAAAAAGCTTGCCAAACCTACAAAGCCGCTAATTCCATAATGTATTTACTACATTTAAGAACCTTTAAACAGGAAATTTATATAGTTCCAAAACAATTCTTCATATTATATACCAACTATTGTCGAATACAATAATGACTGTATAGCTTTTTCTACACCCACATGTATATAAGCTATGTTACGCAAACGAATAAGTATGTCATTGTGTTTAACTGAACGAATATATTTCATATCCATTCTACCTACTAAGAACACTGCATAAATATGAAATCCACCAATCACAGTTCATATTGTGACCACCAGGTTACGATTATTTTTTTAATTTTAAATAAGTGACAATTCTATTAAATTAATTGTCAGGTAAAATGCAAGGGTAATTTATCTCACTAGTGATGAAATACCAAGAACATGTATCATGGTAAGACATAATATTGAAGATTCTTGTTTTTCAGAATTCATGATGCGGGATCTCGTCCCAATTCGAGCATACCTCAAATTTAGGATGAGGCGGTAGGACATAGTAATAGCTTCTGGCTACTTCTCAGGAGATGGGTCTGTACCACCACCACCCCCGGAAGTATCGAAGCTATTAGAAGAACTGCAACATTAGTAACAAGGACAAGAGGTAAAGTCCTGTATATCACATTAAGTACACCGAGCATTAAATCTAGTTACAAATTGGAGAGTATCGAATGGAACCATCTCTATCTGCTCACAAGACAATTGTGTTTAAGTTAGAGATCGTCACTCCTGAGGCGATACTCAAGAGGAATCCTAGAAACATAAACTGGAGCAAATACAACATCATTCTAAAACAAAACTTGCTCTGGAAAGCGATCTCGAAAAACTAAATGAAGCAATACTTGAGGCATATGAATCAATCTGTCCCAATCAAACAAATAGAACTAGTAGGAATGCTCCTTGGTGGAACCGTCATTTGTTAAATTTACGATCCGAAGTGCAAAAGCTCTATAATAGGGCCAAGCACAGAGGAGATTGGCAGAGCTTCACCAAGAGACGTACCACCTACAACAAAGAAACCAGGAAAGCTAAACGTAACAGCTTCAGGCAATTTTGAGGCAACGAGACTGCACAAGGCTCTGGCAAAAGGGAGAGTTGGTACAGTTATGGCGTTAAAGAAACCAAATGGAAGCTTCACGAAGAGTGAGGAGGAAATAACTCGCCTCTTATTCGAAACTCACTCTCCTGGGAGCACACCTTTTCTAATCAAGGATACAACTAAGGTAAGCAGATCCTCAAGAGAGGCCGCTGTAGTAGCCAAACACATATGCAGCAGCAATCGGTTAAAGTGAGCCATGATCATTGTTGAACCGTTTAAGTCTCTTGGTGTGTATGGAAAATTTCCTTTCCTGCTTCAGCGGGCACAGGAAGAATTACTACCACACATAATCCGGATATTACTGGAACTGAGATATATACCAGAATCATAGAGAAGGATACCACACATTCTAAATCCTTCCGACCAGTCAGCCTCATATCCTTTGTATTCAAAACAACAGAGAAGGCTTGTTGATAATTATATCAGAACAGATGTCCTGAAGAGGATGTTTTTTGTTTTTAAAAAAATCGAAACTCAAATAAAAAGACACACAGCTCAACAAGAGTTCTTCAGACGTTATCAGACGATCTCAGAATGTTTTAGTCACGCCTGTGATATGTATAATGTTAAAAGCTATATATGTAATCAATCTTATAATATTTACCAGTTATGTAAGTGGTACTACAAGATTGAAATGGCCAGTCGGAATTAGCTGTACACTGGCAAATCTAAAAATGGGAGGTTAATGGCTAACATTCGATTCTACTGTTTCAGTGATCTATTTGTGTTCACTTGTGCTGTGTTGCCAAATTTACCTATTTTGAATGTTTGCCAGTGTGCATCTAATTACGACTTACCATCTCGATCTGGTAATATATTGTGTGCCGTTTAGTGCAAATAGAATCACAGATTTGGAGAGTGTTTGTTTCAAGGAAGCTTGACGCACGGTCCATTTTGCAGTCCAAGGCAAGCCCAGTAGCTTAACCACCTCACCTAGAAGGTCTACATTTACCAGAGATAAGGGGCGATAACATTTTATTCGGCCTCCAGTGATATCTGAATGTTAAAATTTTCCAAAAGAACTTTATAAGTAGTAAAGATTAAAAGAGACTAATAAAAATTTTTGACTCTTATAGTCATTAAAATGTCAGTATTGTCAGTCAGTATTGTGTGTTTTTACCTTTTTTAATACCTCAATGATACACTGAGAGGTAAAGGATTTGAAATAAAAAAAAAATGACATATATTTATTACCACTTTATTTACATAAAAATAAATAAAACTAATATAATTTAATTTTTCTCCAATTACTAAACGTTTGATTTAGTGTTTAATCAACATGCTAGCATTAAAATTACTAGTATCCTCTGGAATACTAATCTGGAATTGCAGCAACACCACCAGGTAGGTAACCATCGTGGCAATTAGCTAAAATCAGGTTTTAATTAAGATTTGTATCATTATCAGTTCTATTATAGTTGCATCGTGTCAGCTCCAATACGTTATTTACAAAATCTAAAATTAAGAGGATAATCTAGACCGACCATATTGGAGAATTAAGAAGATTTGGTCTAAATAAAGTAAACGAACCATTAAATATATGAAAACCAATTAATTTCGAAATAATGAGAAAATCAAAATAAAAATGATATTTTTCTAAATACACAATTCTGTGAATGATTTACAAAGCTATAAAGTTCATATTTTGCGAGCCGTTTTCGACCATTTTGGTCCTGCTCTGATTCATTAAGTTCATATATGCCTTATTTAGGCCTCTTACGGTCCAGACAATTTGTATTATTAAGAACATCTGTTGAAATACGTTATTCCTTAAACCCCCTCTATAGGTCTATAGTGACTTCTATGGTGGCCAACAGTCGGTCTAAATAATTCATTCTGGAAAATATTAGATCTATGCGTAAGAAATAGTGTAGAGGTGCCTTCTAGAAATTTCAAGATTGGTTCTGGAGCGTCACATTTGGGTATATAAATGATTTGCCATTTGAGTTAGTTTAAGTTAGATATTCTATTTGCCAAAATATATATTGTTAATATAAATTAGTGTAAGTGTAGTTTTTAGCATAAATAAATTTAGTTTATAAATAAACTAGTGTTTTGGTAAATATAAATTAAAATAAGTAACCGTTACAATAACTGTAATAAAAAAAAATATATATAAAAAATATTTTGGCCAGGAAGATTTTGAAACACACTGTAGAAATACACGCACGGCTAAGAGCAGATAATACTTATAATATTGTCTTACATTTTAAGATATAGATTACAGAAACTTAATACGAAATTATGTTAAATCACATAAAACCACTAAAATCCCGGCAAAACGATAGTTAGCCATAAGACAGGTGTCTAATAACTCAGAAGAGAAACCTTTTAAAACACAAAGGATGTAATATTTCGGTTACTTACAGATTTAAATAAAGTTCTATTGACGTCAAAAAATCCACCCAGGGTCATATCGGTGGGGTTCATTTCAGTAGCTCTAAGAAACATGTTAATCTAAAAATGTTGAAAAAATATTTGACGTTTATTTAATTTTTTTAAATTTATACTCTTACTTCTTGTTGTGCATCGTCGTTCATCCAATTTAATTCGACAAGTAACAATTTTTTCTGGAACTGTACTTTCACCTATAAAAAAGATAATATTTAAATATGGGTCTGCCAGACCCAGTTCAAAGTTTTCTTCATTTAAAACAAAATCTGACAGGAAATATTCATTACATTACGTATTTTAGAACAGGAATATAGATTGGGGTCTGTGAGACTTTGATACAAAATATAATTGTATGTATTTTACTTTCACATAAAAACTATTAAACTTTGCTTAATAAGGATAATTTCACAGCGTGTGAAACAGAAAGATGGGGTTTCTGTTATTTTAAAAATTTTAAATTGTTTGTAATCGTCCTCCATGTTTCATTAAATTTTGACTGCACCAGAAGATGGAAAAACATTCCGAAATATATGTAGTGCTTGAGCTTAAATTATAGAAAATAAAAACAATATGACCGAATAAACCGAGAAAATTTTTATTTGTATAATAAACTTTGCTTAGTGTTTTTAAATACCAAAACACTTTTATTTAGACAGGCATTAAGGTAAGGAGTTTGTGGTATCTCCATAAAAAACACATTGATGTCTCTATTTTGTTGTGCATTATCGTTTATCCAATTAAATTCGAGAAGAAGTAATACTTTCTGAAAGTGTACTTTTATCTATACAAATATATTAAAATTAAAATATGGGTCTGTGAGACCCAGTTCAAAGTTCATCGTCGCAAAAAAATGTATCATACATATTACATTACGTATTTTAGACAGGGTCTGTGTGACCTTGATACAAAACATATTGTATGTATTGTACAAATAAAGTACATCAAAATCTAAATATTGGTCTATAAAACTTTGCTTATGGTTTTTAAATATGGCGGACGTACCAAAAGCAATTATTTAGACAATAATTTAGGTAACGGGTTTTTGTGATATCGTGATAAAAAATACATTGATTTCTGTAATTTGATACGCATCGTCGTACATCCAATTTATTGCGACAATTTTTTATTTTAAATAATACATCCAAATTTAAATATGGGTCGGTCTGTGAGACCCAGTTGAAAGTTTTACTTTTAATAACAAAAATTTTGCAAAAATTTCATTATGTATTTTAGATCGCAATATAGAGTAGGGTCTGTGAAACCTTGATACAAAATAACGAATGTGTAAATTTATCAACTTTGTGTTTTCAGCGGTAAAATATTTATTTAATTATGGTTAGCTATAATTTTTTCCATAGTGCATAGTTAGCTAGTTGCTAATAACTGTATTAAACTTCTTAAATAGTTCATGTAATTATACATACAAATTAAAAAAGGCACATACGCGATTCCACATAAAAAAATTCATCAAAATCTAAAAATGGGTCTATGAAACCCGACTTAGGCTCTTTAAATATGACAGGAAACACCAAAAAAACAAGTATTTATTAAGATAGGAATTTGGGTAAGGGGTTTGTGATACCTTGATAAACAATATATTGATATCTGCATTTTGAAATTATTTTTTGGATAATATCCCTAATATGGGTCTATAAAAGTAGAATTCAAGGATCGTGGAACCACGATAAACGCAATATTGAAATATAAATTGAAAACTTAATATCCCGTTTAGTCGAAGTTTTTCTTTAGTTTTATGATTTTTGACATTAAATTAGTTATAATTCATCTGAAAAACCACTCTAAATTTAACTTTAGATTAAAAACCAATTAATAACTTTATTATCTTTTTCTTAGGGTCTGTAAGAACAGTCTTGAATATTTCTTTCGTAGGTAAATGTAATGGGAAATGTTTCCATTATTTTTTGGCGTTTTTATCTGGGTCTACAAGACTCCATGTCATTAATCAATGTTCAGTATGGTGATATCCACTTGAAATATAAGCACCCATGTAAAATGCCCATTTCTTAACGGATCTCAAATTCTATATGTTGCATTTTCCATTTTTAAGGCATGCTACAATTTTTTCGATCTCAAAAATGCCATCTGTATTAGGGATTTAAAAAAAAATCTACCACTGGATTTATACACCTTATAAACAAAAATACCGAAAATTTCGTGAAGAAAATTTTGAAAACATAATTTGCTCTATATTTCTTAAGCAAATTTTAGACAAATTCAGAAAATTGACAACATTAATAATGCAAAGTAGAATTCTAAGTTTATTGGTGGAAATTCGAAGTCCATATCTCGTTCTATTCAGCAGATCCTTCAAATCGTATGCAACCTAGTTTTAAGAAGTGTGAAGACAAACGTTTGAAACAGAATGGGTTTGGTGAAGGCAACATACATTTGTAAAAATGTTATGGAATTTTGAAATGGGATTCATGCAACCCCAACCTTTTTCCGTGCTGTTAAAAACCATATTTTCGAAATAGGAATCCAAGAGACCACAACATCATGCAAGCATTTTGAATGGGCTGAAAGAAACCCTATACTTACACAGTTAGAAGCATAATGAGCCTCATCGCTGATCAGCAGTAGCATAATTCCAGAAAATAACGCAGTAATAGCCAATCCGATATCCTTCACCCCCAATCCTTCCTGTATCTGCGACATTAATCCATAAATAGTCAATGTAATGATTAAAAAGAGATACAGACATATGAAAGTCAATGTGTAGCTGAAAGCGTTGCCTATGTCCCTGATTATCCTGCTGAGCAACATCCAGAGGGATCGATATTCGGCCACTTTGTTTGCAGGCCCGATGTGTTTGAGGATTCCTTGGAAATCGTCAGCCACTGTCAGAGCGATGTGACCTACCATGTCGCAAAGCATGTACCAAATACCGCAGAGGAGGTAGATCACGATGTTAATGTAACAGTACGGTATAATCTGAAAATAAATGGTTCTAAAACATCGAAATAATTAAAATTCTTCTATCCTAAAAGGTGAAAAACTTACATGTTGAAACTTAAAATGAACCATAGTAACATGTGTAACAACCATAGTAGAACAAGCCAAAACTGGTAAAACAATGCTTATAACATATGGTTTGTTTCCCAAAAATTGAATAAATTTTTTTTTTGTAACCTTGTAGTAGATTTTCTCGAACGCAATAAGATTGGTCAAAACCTAAAAATTGAGAGCATTAGAACTCAAGAATAAAAAAAAACTATTGGAAGTTTTATTGAAGATAAGTTTTACTTTATTTCTGATTTTGGTACGACAATATTTTATTTCTTTATCAAAATTACAATTAAAAAACTAACAATAGGTTATGGGCCTAGGAACTGCCTAAGTACTAAGAATATTGGATTAATAAATATTAAGAATTGTATTTTAAAGTTATGGAGGAAACATCAGAAAATACACTGTTTGAGTTTGGATAAATAATACAAATTATCAACCTTGGACATTTAAAATGTGAATGCTACATTATTGTTGTGTGTTGAAAATAATCCGATACCTAGTCCACATTTGTACATGTGTACCCGCTATAGATATGTAGTAAAAGGTCCATGAATGATCAAATCTAAAAAATAAATTGTTCTTAGTTCGCTAATTATATCAAATTAAATTAGAATAATTTAATTAAATGTCAGATGACATCAGAAATGTCCTGGAATTAGTAAAATGGTTAAACGGAATAGGAAAAAATATAAAAGATTTTAATATTACAGCATTACCTCACTAAACCCACATAAAACCGATTGCTTTGGATTCGGGGTACAGCTGGGTGCACTATTAGGAACCGTTAAAACAACTCTTGATACTAAAAATGATACAGATGAAGTTGAAAAATAACTAGGAGACACAATCATATCATCATATCACAATAACTGTTCGTTAAAGAACAGCAAAACTTGGAGGGAAGCGAGCTGGTGAAACACCAAACTCAGAAGGAAAACACGTAAACTTTTTAATGGAAACAAGACGAAAAACGAAACACCGAAACAATCACAATTTAAAACAATACTCTTTGAAAATCTAAGAGAAGTTTATGAAGAACGTTCTGTTACCGCATTCTAGCAAAATATCCAATAAACCCTGTGAGGATTCTAAAAACCCAAACAGGAGAATACACTAAAACGGGAATGGAAACTGTTCAGAAACCCCTTTACGACGCTCCTGCTGAGTGAAGTGAAGTTGTTAAGAGACCACAGAATCCCATGCGTTGCATAGACATTTTTTAATATATCGGTCACCCGCCATGGCATTCACAACACGTGCCCAAAATAAACAATATAATTTTTACGTATTTGTATTTGTTTAATGTTTTTAAATAAAATTAATTTAATTGTTCGAAATTAAAAGTTTTTAATCGTAACCAAATTAACATATGGTCCTTCGAGCCGGATATAGTTATATCCAGGATGTGAACCAGGTATCTATAGCAAATCCGAAAGAAAAAGAAGTCAATGTGAGTCGTTCCAATTTACTTCCTTAATATATTCTTTTTTTTACAAACTATATTATCCGAAAACACGAGAAACACGTAACCGATTCAATTAATTTGTTAATTTATTCGTTAAAAACAATACGTAAATTAAACGTTATCCGTCATTTATTATTCCTTTTAAAACGTAAAAATGGGTAAATCCGAGAAAACGATTGAAAAATTAGTAAATCAAAGAAATAAAATTCGTGAAAATCTATACAGTTTCAGAGATTATATTCAAACAAACGAAAATTATGATTCAAATCAATCAAAACAAGATGAGACAGAATTACGACTAGAAAGAATTCTTAATAGTCTAGACACGGTCGAAGAAATTCGAACAAAAATATCCGAAATTATGATCGACGAAGATGATATAAATCAACAAAAAATACATTTCGACGTTAATGAAGCTGCAAATATAATTCGGTTTCATTTTATTCCAGTCAATTCACTTAACTTTGGTGGAATATGGGAGGCAGGAGTTAAAAGTGTTAAACATCATATTAAAAGAGTTGCGGGTGATGTTTCTTTTACGTATGAAGATTTTTGTACTCTTTTGATTCAAATTGAATCGGTACTTAACTCGCGCCCTTTATGCCCATTATCCTCTGATCCCAATGACCCTTCTGCCCTGACTCCGGCTCACTTTCTAGTAGGAAGATCATTACACGTTAATCCCGAAATTAACTTGAAAGATGTCCCTTTAAATCGACTTTCTACCTATCAACATTTGACGCAATTACGCCAGCATTTTTGGCAACGTTGGAGCAAGGAATTCATTAGTAAATTGCAAATTCGCACAAAGTGGAAGATAACCCAAGGCTCTGCGCAAATTGGAAAACTAGTTGTAGTCAAAGAAGACAACTTACCTCCTACAAAATGGCGTCTAGGTCGAATTATCGGCTTTAAACCCGGTCGAGATGACATCAACAGAGTGGTTATTTTAAAGACAGCTAATAGCATTATCTCCAGAGCTATCACTCGTGTTTGTCCCTTACCCGTTCAGGAATCCATTGAAAGTGAAGACTTTCAAGGCGGGGGGCTTGTTCAGAAACCCCTTTACGACGCTCCTGCTGAGTGAAGTGAAGTTGTTAAGAGACCACAGAATCCCATGCGCTGCATAAATTTTTTTAATATATCGGTAACAGCCATGACATTCACAACACGTGCCCAAAATAAACACTATAATTTTTACGTATTTGTATTTGTTTAATGTTTTTAAATAAAATTAAGTTAATTGTTCGAAATTAAAGTTTTTAATCGTAACCAAATCAACAGAAACATCAGAATTACTTCTCAAAACTAATTTCCCTGATTGCACAACAAACCCAAATACAGCAAACCAAATTCACACTGGAACTCTCAAAAAAGAGTATCCAGCCAAGTATACGAAACTGCAAAACATGTAGTCATAACAGAGAAAGCAACATGGGCAATACGCATCTTCAACCCATACCAATCACCGGGACCAGATAGTGTATCGCCTCTCCTTCTGCAACAGGAAATATAAACACTGGCCCTGCATATTTGTATGCTCTACAGGGCAAGTTTGGCGCATAAACATGTACCAAATATCTGCAAGAAGCAGAGTGGTTTTTATGCCAACATATGTCACGGCAAAGGCCTATAGATCAATAACTCTGACATAATTTCTATTGAAGATATTGAAAGCGTTGCCTATGTCCCTGATTATCCTGCTGAGCAACATCCAGAGAAATCGATATTCGGCCACTTTGTGGTGATTGAACAGCATGTCCAATAAATCACTCTGAGAGAGAGGCCATTTCATTAAAACGAATATACCTATCAAAAGAAAAATGTTGTTTGTTCTGCATCATCTTCTAACCAAGATAGAGGGGGGACTCAATAGCCAAGAAATATTCCTAAGAGCATTTCTTGATATAGAAAGAGCTTTTGATAATATATAAACACGGAATAGAATACACCATCTGGTGGTGGATAGAAGACATGTTACGCGGACGACAAGTACAGGCACAAATGTTCAGAGAAATCATGCAGGTGAATATTCACAGAGTGGAGTCCTTTCTCTACTGTGGAACCTAGTAACAGATCAACAGCTGAGAACACTGAACAATCAAGGGATGTACGCCCATAGATACGCCGATGACATTGTCATACTTATCCGAGGGGAACATCAAACTACAGTTTTCAAACTCATGCAATGAGCTTTAAAGCTGATAGAAATGTGGTGCGTTAGGGAAAACCTCTTGGAAAACCCTGACAAGGCACAATTCATAACCTTTACTCGGAAAACAAGATTGGAGGCCTTAGAAACCCCGATTCTGTTTAGAAGAAGGCTAAAAAGAACGAACCAAGCAAAATATCTGGGTCTAATCCTAGATGGCAAACTTATTTGGAACCAACACTTACAAAATTGACTAACAAATGTAAAATGTCTCTCATTGTAGGGAGACATGAATTTGGAGATTAAAACCAAAAATGGTCCACTGGCTATATTCGGCAATAACAAGTCCAATAATAACTTATGGAACGGTTGTTTGGTGGCCTAAAGTAAACCAGCAAACATCCCTCAATACCCTCTCAGGAGTACAGAGGTCGGCATGTCTTTGTATTACAGGAGCACTGAGAAAGAAGTAAACCGACGGTCTCTACGGAAATCATTCTAAACCTCCCACCCCTTGATTTAGTCATAAAGGGGGAGATCAGAATGAGTACATACAGGCTGGATATCTCCAACAACTGGGATCCACTGGGACATATAAAACATACCAGAATAACACATGAGGTAAATGATTCCAAATTAAACATGGGATCAGATCATATGACATCCCACCTAACCTTTAACAGACTTTTCCAAGTCAACTGCAACTGGAACAAGGTAAATAAAGAGGTAAAGATTTGCTCAACGTTCTCGTATGGTATACGGATAGATCTAAAACTAACAAGAGCACAGGCTCTGGTTTACATAGAGTTAAACCGAAATGCGTCATCATCGTCTCACTGGGAAAACATACCACTGTATTTCAGGATGAAGACGTGCAATCGAATTCTGTACAAGATAATTTAAGAAAGGAGTACAAAAACAAACCATCCTAATTCTCTCAGATAGCCAAACAGCCTTAAAAGCCTCCAAATCAAATCAAAGCTGGTCTGGAATTGCCTTGGTATACAAAATTATCTGGTAACCCAGAATAAGATAAATCTAGCGTGGGTAACAGGACACAAAGGTATCCAAGGAAATGAAAATGCTGATGAACTCGCCAAAGAGGGATCAGAACTACCATTCCCAGGACCCGAACCTGTATTTGGAATAAAGAAAACCTCTGCTCGACCAGCAGTACACAGGTGGATAACCAAAAAACATCAAATTCACTGGCAATAGATAAGAGGACACAGAATTAGTAAACTTATGCAAAGGGGACCAAATCCACGTATGGCGTCTGAGGTACTACAACTCGCAAGGCTTCATATATCCACCGTTGTGGGATCACTAACAGGACATTGCTTACTGAAACACCTTCATGTGATTGCACAATGATCGCACCACGTGTAGATTGTGCATGAAAGAGGAAGTAACCTCATACCATATTATCTTCGAATGCGAAACTCTTCCTAGGGGGCGTCTCATCCTTAACGGCGTAGAACAGGAAAGAACGCCCCAGGAACACTTGATAGGGAACCTATTAAAACTAACCAAAGAAACAGGACTATTCCTAAGATAGATATAATACGGGGAAAGCAGGGGAATACAATAGATCAAAGAGACCGCAGTATTCTGGGCCAAATCTAACCCTACCTGCTTATAACCGACAAAGATGAAGATTACTTCTAATTGGCCTTCCTGACCAATATGACACACTAGTAATATTCCTTGATGCACTTCCTGATGAAGAATTAACATTTGAATACGTCAAAGAAAAACTAATGGAAGAGTTTAATAGAAGAAATAATAGAACCAACGATAATGAGGCTGTACTGAAAGTATCCAAACCTAAATAATATTTTTCTAATGTTTCCACTACAAAAAGATATTTAAAAAAGTTAAAAAGAATGTTATTTTCTAATCAGAAGGAATCAATAAGTCAGCCGAAAGCGCTACGGAAGAGAATCAAAACCTCTGCTTTTGTGAAGTAACTAATGATGCTGATAACTTAGCTTGGTACATCGACTCAGGAGCCTCCAATCATATGACCTCTAGCTAAAACTTCCAATAAAAACACAGTAGAAGACCAATACATTTACAGTGATATCTGATAAACCTGTTGTTGAAGGCAGATGCTTTCCTCGCACATTTTTTAACATATTCCTTTGACTGTAGTGGACTGTTGAGAGAAAGAGTACGGGTTTTCTTTCGTTGATGTAAAATAAAATACTGGCAACATTAAACTCCATTTAATCTTGAAAAATAATACTAAACTTTTATATCACAACACTACATCATATTTACAATCATAATGAAGCACTGTCTTAAGAAAATTAATCACATTCTTGCCAGTGTTTCTTTTTAAAATTTGTATAACAAAGTTAACACGGCGACCTGATGCCTATTCAAGAAAAAGCAGGTAAAGTAGAAATGTTATAGCTCGTTTAAGTGAGAAGAGGCTTCTGTTGAAGTAAAGTCGCGCGGAAAGCCCTTGGCTTCGCTTCAGCGCGTCTGACCAATCGTCTGTTTAAGAACCATTCAGATGATTGCCTTCTATTGACCACTTGTCCCGTGACATCTTGAAGAAATTCTATATATGCCAGAGTCGGTTTTAAGATTTAAATGTGCCAGTATTGGCTTCAAGATTTTTTATTCAAGATGTTCTGTGTTCAGTTAAATTTTAAATAGGTACTGGATTTTACCAATAGAAAATATTTGATTCAAATCTGCATACTTGTTTTAAAATAATTAATTCTACCACTGCAAAATATTCAATCTAATCCTGCATCGAATTAGCTAGATGCTTACATTCTTTGAACAACAGAAGACACCGCTAGCTGATAAATCTCAATACACATGTACCGTCTCTCTAATAAAGAAAGAATTTTTATTTCACGCGATCGTAAATACTCGAAATAAATTTTGTTTTACCGTGGTCGAATTATCCGAATTCGTTGGAAATAGTTTCTCTAGCACAGGAAATACTGAGTCTATATTATACTTACTCTTGCCATTTTCTTTGCTTCGCTCCAAGCTATAGGATTTAGAACAATTGGTACCAAATAGACGGAGAAGAGATAGTCTATTACGGCTTCTTCGAAACGTCCTTCCGCAGATCGAACCATTTCAAGTTTATCCCATTTTATGTAGCCTATGTAGCCTAAGAGTATTAAAAAAATAGCCACCGAATAGGCTATCAATTGAATGGTTACCTAAAGGGCAAAACATGGATTAGTAATACATCTTGTTCTACCAAATATTTGGATAATAAATCTTTTCCTTAATAGCATAGAGCGGAAAGCACTATCAAAAAATAATACTATTCTATAATTTACCTGAAAGGTGAATTCATCATGGGTAATGGGCATTATTCCCATTACTTTCATAGTGGTCAACAGAGGCCTTAAACTGTCATATAAGACGGTGCTGGATTTGTTCTGGAAAGCCTTAAAAGGAATCGGTATCGGGTCACCGGGACCTGGTGGGGCAAAAGGGGCTACTTTCGATACTGGGTTAGGATTCCTGTCTGGATGCTGGTAATATGGTTCGGCCGTTTCTAAGTATACACTGCGTTTCCGTTCTTGCGTTAGGCCTTCTATTACGCTGATGTTTTGGCCGAACATGGTCTAAAAAAGAAACGATGTATTTAAAAATGAGCCCATGTTTTGGCAGAATGTGCCCAAAAAAGGAATGTTTAAAATCAAGGCATATAACAGCATATACTAGCTATTTATGAAATCAGTTGCGAAATGCCTTATTTTATGTAACAAGTAAATATTTGCGAGGCGAGCAGAGCGAGATCCCGCAATATGAACGGCATTTCGTAACGTGTTACACACAATTTTTTTAATATTGACTAAAATTTGACTAAAATTGTGTTTGGTTTAAACATTATTGAAATTTAGGCAACCAATATTATTTTCTTGTGATTTTCTTGTATTGTTTGTTGCGTATGCATCATTTTATTGACAATTAAAACATCATTATTAATTATTTATTCTCAGCGAGTAGCAGTGTTTTGATATTATTTATTAAAGTTATTTAGTTTTTAAAAAAGTGTGTTTCAAAACAACATGAGTTTGATTTTTATTATAGATAAAATAAAATTCACCATAATAAGGAGGTAGTACAGAATTACAGGAAGCAGGAGGATCGGTTTAAAAAAATTATCTATTTAACATAAATCATACTTACAAATCGTCTAAAACAGGCCTCGAATCACACCCACGAATATTTGAAGCAACCCGTTCGACAAGAAAAACTGAAATGACGTACTTCTTACCCGACTTTTCTCTAAAAGTTGATTTTCCACGTAACCTACACTTTTTAGAGGTCAACCTGACGTCGAATTAATATTGAAAGTTTTTTAAATGAAAAACGGGTCAAGTTTCTACGAAATTACTGACTTCTTACGGTTTTTGTGCAAACACGCTTATTGGAGATCATTTATTAAATACTAGTGATTAATGGTGTTGAGTGTTTATTCAGTTGCTTATAGGGTGGAGTTTTGTTGCTTTTTTAACGTTTACTGAATGACGCTAGACATTGTTATTCCTCTTCATCTTCCCTTCTCCATATGGGCTCCGTTATAGGATTCTATTGTTTTTTACCTGGCGATAATAGCATATCTATGGAGCAGCTGTTTAGTGGCTTAAAGTAAACCAGAAAACAGTCCTGAACACTATCTCAGGAGCACAGAGGCCAGCATGCCTTCATATATACAGTGGCACTGAGATGTATACCGACAATTCCTTTGAAATCATTCTAAACCTTTCACCCTTCGACTTATTTATTAAGGGGATTCCAGAATGAGACATATAGACTGAATAGGTTTGTTCCAGCAGTAAGTTCTAACCTTATGTTATGTTATGTTGAGAATGAGGTGTTAATAAAATGCGACCTAAAAGATCAATTGTGCCCCCTTCTGTCGCGCCAATGCACTAAGGAATGTCTCAATGCCTATAACGACCCTTCCAATCCTATTTTCTCAAGGAAGTGTAGGATTTGAAGTGGCTTCAAGTTAGGTAAATCTCCCTCTTCTATTTGATATCCTCCTAGATATACTGGCCTTGGATTCTGGAGTGCCACATATTCAGTTAGAATGTGAATGGAGGTTTCGTTCTCCTCCTCACAGAATCTGCACTCACTATCCTCTACTACTCTGTTTACTTAGGTGTCCTTTTTGTCGGCAATACCCCGTATTGATCCCTGTTCTTACTCAGGCAGATGCAGGCTTTCGATCTTTTCTGGTTATATTCACCCAGAACTATCTTGGCCTGTCTCCGCCCCAAGAGATTGTTCCAATTATCGGTTCTTCTACTGCCCAATTTTTTTTTAATCTCTCCTTATATTATGTTACTGCTGATACCGTAGAAGGGCTCAGGTCCTACAAAGGGTGTTTGAGCCCCTTTCCTTGCAAGACTATCTGCAATCTCGTTACCCTGTACCCCGTTATGTCCCGGGACCCAAGTGAGAGTAACTTCATTTTTCTCGCCTAGCTCATTCGATTGTTCTAGGCACCTCCAGACCATTTTTAAGCTGATTACATAAGAGCTCAGCGCTTTGATGGTTGCTTGACTATCGGACATGATGATAACCTTTTGTCTATGATAGTTTCTCTCGATGTTAAACTGGATACACTTCTCGATGGCGTGAATTTCGGCCTGGAAGATGCTTGGGTATTTTCCTAAGCTTTCGGAGTGCTTGGTTCTCGGCCCATACCCAGCAAACATTTTGGTGTAATTTGACGTCGATACTACCTAAATTATATATAATAAATTTGGTCGCAAAATTAGATTTAACCATAATTAAGTAAAATTTACGTTGGCTCGACGTGGATTCGACATAAGTGGAGAATAAGACGACGTCGAAATTTGGTTTTATTTCCCAAAATAGGTAGAATTACATCTAAATCCACATTGTAGTAGCCCAGTATGTTTGGTTAGTAATACCTCTCTAGGGAAATTTGACGTCAGTATAACGTTAATTTGACGTTGATTTAACTAAGTTTAGGTAGAAACTACCAAAATATTTGCAGATGACGTATGCCTCCAAGTGTACGAAAAAATTTTTTATACTTATTTGGTATTTTTATCTATATATAAGTAGAAATAATGTAAGAAATCATCAACACAACTAAAACATATACCTAATTCACATGAAAGATTGAAAATAAATAAATGTCGGTGACAAAAATATATGTAATATAATTGCGGTGAATATTTTATCGTGCATGTTAACAGTTCTACTTAGAAAAATCACAATGCCCTTCCAAAATACTCTCTAATTAAAAAATATAAGAAAAAAATATGATCGTGTAAAAAAATAATAATAATATTATGAGCTAAAACTATGTTACGTTTGTTGCGTATCACTTTAGAAAATCAATAATGTTTCGTTTTTTGGTATTTTCATTCCTATGTTCTAGTTATGGTCATTTTAAAAATTTAAAATTTGGAATCGTACTTCAATTACGTTAAGAAAATATGGCGTATTGTGCGAATTCGACATAAAAGTTATTATGACTAAGGAAATCTACGTATTTTACAAATACCTTTTTATTAAGTTGAATTAACTTCAATTTCATGACATATTAGTTAACTTTACCTATTTAAAGAAATAATAACTTATAGGTTTTATAAAAAATTTACCTATAGGTAAATATAACATATTTAGGTCACGTTGTTCTGCACTTGAGATTTTAGACGTTTCACTTTACGACAAAAATCGGAAGTATAACGATTTGATTTATTATTTTTCGAACTCATTTTATTAATTATTTTTCGCACTCATTTAAAGCTCTATCTACACCACACGTAAATTAAGATTACGACTGTTATGTTTTTTTTTAAACGGCCGAAATTCTTAAGAATAATGACGAAGACAGTAACTGAACAACCTAATTGTTAAAATAACCTAAATAATATAAATTTTACAAATAGGTCAAATATGGCTCTTTTTAAATTGGTGGTTTTTAGTCGAATTTACTTTGTGGTAGATTTTTCAGGTAATTGCTACAACAAAGTTAATAAATATTTCTTCAAGATGACTTATAGGTCAACTAAATGAGTATTCGACTATTTGGTTGAAATTAGGTAGATAAACAGGTAGAATTTTGCTACGATCTCGACCTAATATTACTTTAAAGGAGAGTAAATAAAAGCGACCAAATAGGTTACTATGGAGGCATAAAATTACGTAGAATTTTTAACCAAATCTACCTAGTTAGATATTCTACTATAAAGACGATTTTTAGTTGCCAAACAGGTAGATATTACCTAAATATGGCACCTAATTTTACTAAAAAGGAAATTTAACTTTGAAGTAATTGTTGGTTATTTTTTTAGTAGTTTTTCCCTTGCTGATATAGTTAAAGTTACTTTTAAGCAGATTTGTGTAAAAGGTAGATTTCTTGGTATAATTTACGTAAATTTAAAAATAAATTAAAACCGTTTGGTAAATTTACATTAGAGGTATATTTTTTTAGTCAATTTTACGTAATAATTACCTCAATAAGTAAATTCGTCTTTAACAAAGTCGAGTTATAACTAATGTTATAGAAAATGTTTGCTGGGTACACTCCTATTCCAGTTCCTTTTATGGTTTTGGAACCGTCGGTATACCACTGAATAGCACGTCTTTCGGTTGCAAGCGCGATGGATTCTTGGCTCCATTCTTTCTTGCAGCCCAGCTTTGTGGTTTTGAAGTTTTTCACAAAACTGTACTTCTTTAGCATTTCATCCTGGGGTATGTCCCAGGTATCTTTAGTCCTGAAGCAAGTAGACTTTCATCTGATTACTTCGTTCCTGATCATTCTGTATCGTGTCCTTTTTGCCACATTCTCTATCATCAAATGTAGAGGGGTGAGGTTTAAGATCACCTCTATTGCGGCCGTAGGACAGGTTCTCATTGCATCAGTAATGCAAAGACAGGCTAGTCTTTGTACTTTTGAGATATTAGCTCTAGAAGTAGCTAAGCTAGTTCTGTTACTCCAGGCTATAGCACCGTATGTGATGATTGGTCTCACTAGCAGTATGTGTCCATCGCAGTATGTTTGGGTTACATCCCCATCGTTTACCTGCAATGTTTCTGCATATCCTTCGGGCTTTTGTGGCCTTATTTACTACTTCCTTCTCATGTGTGTTCCAGAGAAGTTTGTTGTCCAGGGTTAGGCCTAGGGCCTAGATATTTGACTTCATTAAGTTCTAACCTTTCCAAGCATACTCATTTAATTTCTAGAACATCTTAAGCATGTGCACCTTTGGAAATTTGGATAGAGTTTAAAACTTCCACTTGAACAGATCTAATAGCTCCAATAATTAGAACCCCCTGGAAAAAATAAAAAATGTTAGAATAACAGGTAAATGATCTCATATTAAATATCTATCTAATCTTCAACAGGCTCTTCCAAATCGTCTGCCATTAGAATCAGGAGGTAGAGAAATACTTGTTTAGGAGCCTCATATGATATCTTTAACTTTGTCGGTTATAAACGGGTAGGGTTAGATTTGGTTCAGAACACTGTGGCCTCTTGGGTTTATTGTATTCCTCTGATTTTCTCGTATTCAGAAAACCTACCTTTGAAATAGTTCTGTGCCTTTGATTAGTTTTACTAAGTTCCCTACCAAGTGTTCATGGGACGTTCTATCCGGTTCTAGGCAGAAAAGGATGAGACGCCGCCTAGTAAGAGCTTGATATTTTGAGATAACATGGTATAAGGTTCATTCATCTTCCACGTGGAAGCATCATTGTGTAAGAACAAAAAATAGAATGTTGTACAATGGTGTGTTGCTGCCTTGGTTGCACTGGTTAATTACCCAAGAAGGTTAAAAAAGATTGAAATGTATGATGGTACCATAAATATTTGAAGAAAGGCATCTGGTATTTGTTTACAATTTTTAAAGATCTGATTAAGTTTAATATATTTTAAACAAAAATCAATATTTTAAATCGAAATTCAATATCGATTTCGATCTAGAACCTAAGTAAAAATTTTACTCCAGTTAAATCTTTAAATTGGTTTAGAAGTTTCAAGTTTCAGCACTTCATTTAGTAAAACATTACCTATAAATAGGTTTCTAATTTTTCAATTATAATTTATCTTGCTATAACTTTTAAAGAGTTTGGTTGTATTTCAACACTACATTCATTTTTATATTCATATCACCTACATTCATTCGTACATAACTTATTTATTGAGTAATGTTTTGACCCAAAAACCTTGAAAATTGAAAATGCGCTTTCTCGATATGCAAACTCATAAACACGTAGATGAATAATAAGTTGCCTATATCCCTGCACTGTCCCTCGATCGTGCAGTGATGGTGCAGTGGTTTAATTTTTTTTGACCTCAATATAAAGAAATCTTTAAACTAGATATCAGTTCAGTTTACGGTCAATAGATGTCAGAAGAGTAGAAATTAATAATAACTTATTTGGAAAATTAATTATATCTAATTTTATTTAAAAAAACTATCCAATACTTCAAGAATTAAAATATTTATCTTATGATAAAATTAAACATAAGTATGAATCTAAAATATATATTATTTTAAAACCATGATTTTCTTGTGTTGATCTATTACATCTCAAGATGGCACTACGATCTACCATAATATTTACTATTTATGATTTATTGCTAAATATTAAATTCCCAGATATCAGATAACTTAGTAGTTAAAACAAGTTTGTGATAGTCTAATGTATAATTAATTAAATTATACATGATGGTGGTGGTTTAATTTATAATTTATTTTGCAATGTAGTGTTCATTACGACTTGCATAGTTTGGTGCGATATGGATAGATAGCGGTAGTATCGGCATTAATCAACATGATATTTGGTTAAAAATAAAATTGTCAAAATCTCGCCAGAACTGAGATGTAGCAAATGTAAATTTGTATACAAATACACGAAAACAGTGAAAAGGTGATAATTTACAATCAAATAGCATTTGATATTAGTAAACAGACCAGTTTTTAAAAATGTTGGAGCACGAATTCGTCGAAGTCAACCACATAAACACATTTTTATCATTTTTATGGAATGTAAGTATATCTTGAAACAATACCTACTTTATTAAAAATTAATATAGTTCAAGGTGTTTTTTATGAATGTGCCTGAAACCGGTTAAATCCTTGAAAATATATGTGAATTATTGTTTTCTAATAATTTTATAACGTCGATTTTTAATGTTAAAATTTTATGATTTTAATTACGAAAGTACCTAGGTATTACACGTTTTGCGATTATTTTGAAGGTGTGAGATGATGAGTTTCCTATGGAATTAAAAGATAAAATCAAACCGCAAATTTATTATCACTTTTACCTTCGAAAACCGGAATGCCGTGATTTGTATTAATTTTGAAATAAAAATACTGTGGTCTGGACGTTGTTATTTACCTGTGAATAACCTTAAAATTGGCCGAAAGGTAGGAATTTCATAGTGGATTTGAGGTTCATTTTTTCATACTTACCTTGATAAAAATGCCAATACTGCCAGTAGGTGATTCTAGAATTACCTGTGATGAATAGTTATTTTATTGATTGACATTTACCAAAATAAACCTATTATGCAGACGTCCTTAATGAAAGCAGATGTAGTTTGTTAATGCGAGTATTGGTCTGAGTGACTATATATAGTTACTCTGAATAGTCTGGCTAGTGGTGGAATAATTGAGGAAAGTTCGGAAGAGTAGATAATTATTGAATTACCCCTCGAAGTAGATACCCATAAAATAAATGTTCGAACAGTACAACTCATAAAATTACAAAATAGTTATCTGCATAAATTTGGAACATGATTTCTTTTGTGGAGTTTTATTTAATATCTATTAATTTATTCTAAAGATCATTATACAAGCCATTACAAAACAATTAGGAATAACATTTGATTTTAATGATATACGATTTTACTTGGTTTACAACAGTAAACAATTATATTTTAATGATGTTCTTACAAGTAAATCTTTATTACATTTATTTGACATTAATCAATTAATAAAAAAATGGTAACTTACCTATTCCTATTAAGAAAATTTATATATCAATTTTAGTAGAAATCAACCACAATTTTAATCTGATAATACCTCAGAAACTGCAATGTTTTCTTTTTATGGCATGGCAGGGTTGGAAAAATGTGTCAGAGATACCTAGATATAATTGTTAATACCCCATAGCAATTTTAGTCGAGATCAACCACAATTTTAATCTAATAACCCTTCAGAGACTGCAATGTTTTCTTTTTGCGATAGCTTCTTAGAGTGCTCCAATTATGTGTGTCAGGGTCCGAAAAAACGTTTGAAAGGTGGGTATCTCATAATCTCGAGTTGCATGATTTCTCAAAAGTTTCTTAAAAAATGGACTCTATGACCAATAACTTTGAATAGAACTTTATGGCAACTGTCGTTTGTAATTAATTTCAAATTCCTCTTTAGTCATACTGATTTTATTTGGATTTAGGGTAATTTTGATGGATGAACTACCTAAACAAACACTTATAGTTTTCCATTTAATTAATTTTAATTCATATCCAGCAACATGGATTTATATCCAAAAGATCAACTGCTCAGATCTATATTCCTTTATCCAATATATTTGCCAAACTATTGATAATAAATTCTAAACCTACTGATTTTTCAAAAGCCCTTGATTTGGTTTTGATGCAATCTACAGTCCAGACATGAATTTTTAGCTACAAGTTGTGCTCATCATGGTAGTTATTTAGCTCCACTACTACTGTTCTGTCTATTTATTAATGATTTACCCAATCTTAATTAAAAGCAAGAAGGTCATCCTTGCAGATGATTTTAAATTTTACAAAGCTATAGAAAGACTTGACAATGCTGTAAAACTAGTCAATAACATTTGAAAAGGTAGATGAATCAAAGGATCTAGGTGTTTTCTTTAGCAGCAATTTGTTTATCATTAACATCTGCGAAGAAAATACTGGGTTTCATTTTTCATAAATGCAAAGACTTTAATAACATTGATGCTAAGAAGTCCGATTCAGTACTTTATGTAAGTTCAAGCCTAGAATATTGTTTATAATACTGGTTACCTGGATGTTTAGTGCCTACACTTTCTGCCAAATATGACAATAATTAGTCAAATAGTTTTAAACTACTGGACACAAATAATTTTAAAATTTTTAAATAAAACACCCAATAACTCAGACAGGAGACAAATTTTATCTAAGTGATTTCAGTTAAATCTTCATATTTTGAGCTCAGAATTCTATAGTTGAAATATTTTCAACCCTGTATATAAATAATTAATGAATTTAATTGATTGTCCAGAGCTCCTAAAATAACTTATTTTATGTGTACAATCACTGAATAGTAGAAATGAGCAGACATTTGACCTCTTTACTCCTAGAACAAACATAATAATGAGTGCTTCTTTGAATAGAATGTGCATCCATTTTAATGAAAATACTAAAAACATTGACCCATTGTTATATACATTAAAATGGTTTAAAAATAGAATCAAAATATCTATATAGTAACATATCATAAATTTACTGGTTTCGTTATCTTTTTTTATTATTTACCTATTTTTGTTAAATTTAGATCTTTCTTAATCTTATATATCTGTTTAAGCCTTAATATTTAAACTGCCTTGTAATTAGGTGTACTCCTTTTTGGGATTTTTTTTAATATAGATTCAAGAACCAGCTTTTATAATAACTATTCAAAATTTGCTCCATCTATTGGCCTGACAGTAAAATATCCTACATATTTCAACAATTCGTTTTTAAATGTCAATACTGTCATGCACTGAAGCAAAACCTTATATGTAAGGTACCACCACAGAAAGAAATCTAGAGATGTGAGGGCAGGTGATCAAACTGACCATTCTGTCGGATCTCGTCTAGATTAAAGGCTTACTGGACCATAATAGTGTGCAGGAGAACCATCTTGTTGAAACATTATATCCAAGTTACCAAATTCATTTGAATTGTCTTCCAGTATTTCAAGAATCAATGGCTGAATTGTGTTTTGTAAAATTTCCAGATATACTTCACTGGTTAGGTTAGAAACCAAATAAACAGGCCTAACTATTTATGGTTTCCCAATATACCTGCCTAGATATTTATAAACATAAGGGATGTATCATCCCTAATAAAAAGGTCTAAACTGCTTTTTCAATGGTTTAATTAACGATCAAGTATTCTCAATTACAATGTTGCTGTGATATGGATACTGTCTATTCGCATACTGCCCATTGCGCTGATCTGCCTTCTCCCACTCGTCCATTCTGACACGCATGTGTATGGACTTCAAGAATGTATGGTGGGGAGCAGAGGAATACCGCTAACACGGCCATCCTGCAATTGGTGCGTCCTCGCGCCACATATATCTGGAATTACAAAATACGAAAACAGAACTACTGTTACGACCTATGAACATTATCACTAATGTTCTTTTTAGACGCTAAATAATTAATTACTCTTTTATTTAATGTTGATGGAATTGCCACGATTACAGTAAAAATAGTGGGATTGCCACTAGTCATTCTTTCAATCAACATAGGTGGAATGGCCACCATTACCATAAACAGTAGGATTGCCACTTAATACTCTTTCAATAAATGTTGGTGGAATTGCCACCATTACAGTACACATTAGTGGGATTGCCACTAATTACACTTTCAATTAATGTTGGTGGGATTGCCACCATTACAGTTAACATAGTGAGATCTCCACTAGTCATTCTTTCAATCAACGTTGGTGGAATTGCCACTTAATACTCTTTCTATCAATGTTGGTGGGATTGCCACCATTACAGTACACATTAGTGTGATTGCCACCAATGACTCTTTCAATTAAAGTTGGTGGGATTGCCACCATTGCAGTAAACATAGTGGGATTGCCACTAACTACCTTTTCAATTAACCTTGGTGGGATTGCCACTACCTTTTCAATTAACCTTGGTGGGATTGCCACTAACTACCTTTTTTTTTATTTATTGTTGGTGTCTCTGGTGGCCTTATTTAAAGGAAGGTACATTTAAGATTTTGTTTGGCTTGAAACGTTCGGCTTCTCGTCTATCTTTAAACTGACTTCTTGGTTTTCTAAGGATCTCTGCAATTTTCGTAATTCACGAGGTCTCAACACTGATCGCATCAAATTCGTTGAGTAATTTTATGAGTTCACGTTCGGAATTAGGATTTTGTATGTGAATGGCAGAACGGGATTTTGAATTGTCTGAACTCAGAACTGGATTCCACAGCAACTGACAACGCATCATAAAATCTAATGATGCTACAACATTTTTGATATTTATAATCACACAGTGAGTTACAAACATGGCTTTGAAGTGTAGCCGCTTTCTATTCATGAGCAGCTGGTGTTTCCTTGTCAGCGAATGCAATATAGAGTAATCGGGGTACTTCTCTTTAAAAATGCATCCCGCTGCATGCAAATTATTTCCACTTTCACCAGTTAATAAAAACTTTCTTAGCTAAACCTCGTATTTTGCTTATGTGGACTCTTAAACGTCTGGATAAACGGTGATTAATGTTGTAGAGATAAAAAATGTCAACCTTTTGGAAAATGAATCAGAAGCAGACTTAAATTTTTGTTTTTTTTGTATCGTTCTCTATGATAGAAAAAAATTTCCCTCCTACCCACTTCAGAAGTACAAAAATTTTCTGAATACAATAATTTTTAAATTTGTACACCTAGTTTATTAAATTTTTTTTGGCAGTAATAACATACATTTCTTCTAAAAATAGTCGTTTTAATCATAACATAATCTTTTTAATATTCAAATTGCCAGGATTAGTCTAAACCACAACAAATATTTTTTCCGTCTACCAAAAATATTATTAAAGCTATTGGTATTAATTGCTATTGTTCTATTAACGCTTTTATTTGCTTATATCATGGTAATTTCCTTTTTTTTTTTTTTTTCGATAAACGGTAGCTTCTACTGTGGTGACTAATTAAAATGCTGTTCTTGATGAGATAACAGCTATGCTAAGTTAATTAACATTTTTGCGATAAAAAGACTGAATCTAAAAAAATCGTTCTATAACGGAAGTA